CAGCTATCTATATATAATGATCTATAGATAGATAGATACCCACAAATATATATAGTATATGTGTATACATATTTTAAATATGTAAATGTACATATATGCATATGTATATATATGTATATATATTCTTTTACCCTAAACACAATACACAGTTTATCTCCTACTTTTGTGTTTGCTAATATTACTAACTTGCTAAATTATTGCTAATTATTATCTTTTTTCCACCTTCATTCTCTACAAAGCTTAGCTCAAATAAAATAAACAACATCTGACAAATAATAAGGAACACCCCACCCTTAATAAATATTTCAGGACAGTCAGCCTTCCTGTCATTTTGCAACTTGGACTGTTCATCTTTAAGAGCTTGGTTTTTCAATGCTAGTGTGCTTGAAATGGTTTTGAGGTTTTGCAGTCTGTTGACACCCTGAGGAACTTGGAACACTTCAGCTTCCTTTTGTTGGGTGAGCTGTCCAGGGCCTTTGTGAATGCAGCAGAGCATGGGAGGGCTGCAGTGGCCCTGCTGTTAGCAAAGAATACTATTTGGAAGTCAGACAAGTAGCCCATCTCTGCACTGCACCCTGAGAAAACTGCTCTTCCAGGTAAGTGCAGGAGACTTGGGATAGGGACATGTGAATGACAGTGATGTCTCAAGAAGGCATGCTGAGCTGTGGGTCTGGTGTAATTCAGAATCTTCAGAAGCACTTGCTGTAAAAAGGAGGTTATTTACTGTGACCATGACTCCTTTCATTAAAGAAAGAATTTTCTGTACTTCCAATCTAGTTTAAAGTTGGACAAAAGTGGTTTCAGAAACTGTCAAAAAATTTTTTTTGCCTAAAAACATCATAGATAACCTGGTATTCATACAACTATTCAGATGCTTAACTTTTAAGTGATACGTTAATTTTGTTTTCATTATCAAAATATTTTAACTCTATAACTGGCAATATTGTTGCATGTAGTCTGAAATCATTCTGATAACCCGAATCAATAGAAAGAAATAATAGTAATCCTGGTAGTTAGGAAATTCTAAAGAACTGTTTCTAAAATAGCTTGTGGATAGTTATTGTAATTCTTCTCATTTGATTCTTGTTACTACATGACATAAAGGATCTGAAAATAACTTTAAAAATCACTTAAATAAAAATTAAGAACAATATTCTTTCAAATAATTTTACTTTACATAAAACGGCTTTATGCCATTGTTTACTATTTATAGAAAGTAATGTGTTTCAAATATGTGGAATGAAATATAAAGTTTTAAAAATGAAATCAACAACACGCAACCTGAAATTAAGAGTTTAGTTTTGCTTCTTTGTAGTGTGATTTTTGATGAGTCACTAAATTCACTGGACTTCAGCTTCCTACACACCCGCATAAGCATACTTGTTTATCTGAGAAATTACTTATTAAGCACTCCAGTTTTCTTTTCTTTTCCTTTCTTTCTTTCTTTTCTTCTCTTTTCTTTTTTCTTTTCTTTTCTTTTTTTTTTGGTGGGTTGGGGGTACTGGGGATGGAACTCAGGGACATTCAACCACTGAGCTACATTCCCAACCCTATTTTGTATTTTATTTAGAGACAGGGTCTCACAGAATTGCTTAGCATCTAGCTCTTGGCTGAGGCTGGCTTTGAACCCATGATCCCTGTCTCAGCCTCCTGAGCACCATCATGTCCGGCTATTAAGCACTCTAGTTTTACAACTCCTTATTTTCTTTTTCATTGGGTTTAAATCAATCAATCCATTAACTATCAATATTTTAGTTAACTAGTAGAAGTAATGAGACCATTGAAGGAGGAATCAGGCAGTATGAATTCTAGTACTGTTTTCTAGTAATTGGCTGAATAATTTGAGAAAAACCGAACTATTCTGGGTCAGAAGTTTGGCAAATTTTTTCAATAAAAGTCTAGATAGTACTTCAGGCTTTACAGGCCAAGAGATAAAATCAAGGATGATATATAAGTATTGCATAGCAATTTAAAAACATGAAAACCATTCTTAGTTCACTGACTGTACAGAAAAGGTGAAGTGAGCCAGGTTTGACATATGGGCCATTATTTTCCAACTCATGTTTTTGGAAATGATTTTCAATAATTATAAAAAGAAAGACAGACTAGATCTGATATGATCAGCTTGAGTTCATGAGATGCCAAGGCAGTTCATGGATGTCTTTAAGGAGATTCACCAGTCCCCTCACACTGTACACAAAAGTGTGAGCATATGTAAATAGTGGGGTTTGTTTTAATGGGGAAAAATTACAGATTACATCATATTTTTTTAATATGGTGCAAAATCTAATTTAGGTAAAGGGCCACAGGACTAGCTGATTTCAAAAACAATTTTTCAAATCTAAAACTCAACTTACTTATGAAGTGTTCATTGGTATCTACTATGTATAAACTATTGTGCTAGTATTGTAAGAAATGTAGCATGTTATGACTAATGTGTCAGAAATATTTTTTAAAAGATTAGAATATGTGCAAATAGGTGATATCCTTCAAATAACCTTGAGAAAATTCCATCATTAGGCAAATATTTCTGAAATATTGTTTTGCAAATTTTCTTCAAGGCTAGTTCATTAGGTAGACCAAATTCCTTGCCACGTTTTCTTATCTCCCCATCTTATTTTGTATGTTAGTGATGATTTGTGAGGATCATAATCAAATTTAATACAAACAGAACCTTCTTCATAAAAATATGATTTGCTTAAGGGCAGGAGCCATACCATTCCTACCTTTGTATTCTAGAGTAGTGTTTTGTGGACAGTAAGTACCAAACATCCTTGAAATAGGTATTTGTACAAATGAATGAAAAGATAAGAACACCATCGTGGAGATTGTGTGCTACACTTGCTGAAGGTCTGGAACCCCAAATACTTTAAAAATAGTAGTTGCTAAGCCCAAAGATTGCTTCTCTTTTTAAAGTTGAATGTAACCATCATTTCAAAATACTTGGTTAACTAAAGATTGAAGTTCCTGGGGATTAAGTCACTTTTCTTTAAGAAGTGACATCTGTTGAATTTAACTCATGAGTAAAAGAAATCTTTCCTACAAAGTTTCAGGTAACCCACTTTCTGGGATGAACTGGCCAGAGACTCAAGTTTTCTTATTTGCTTTCAGCACCTTAACATCTGAGCACTTCCTGCCCTGAGCTCTGGTAGAAAGGATTGCTGGCTGAAGGATTATTATAATTATAATTATTATTATTATCGACAATCTAAAAGTCAGACCAAATAGAATGGAGGGCACCACTGCAGTCCCTGATACAGAAGCTCAGACTGAGCTCTGTGGTCTCCTCCATCGACAATGCCAAAGTCAGAGTGCTATTGGTCAGGGATTCCCTCAGCTTTGTGGGGCAGGGGAAGAATCTGTGATGTGTGTCCCTTCTTATGCCAGAATAATCCCATTAAAAAAAATAAAAAGGAACTTAATCTATACTAGCTAGTTTATGGTTCTTTCACTTCTCAGGAGAGATTTAAATGTTCTGATTTAAAATCTTTAGGAAATGTTTATGAAAAGTCTGCACAGCTTTGTATATATCTTGTGTTATGCCTGTCACCTCTTTGCATAAAAGAGTCCTTATCCCCTCCCCCATTCCCTTCAGAAGCTGTGGGAAAATAGCAATGTACTGCTTACTATGGGATGGAATTTTCTGGTGAGGCTGTGTGGAATCAGTATAATCAATAACACCCTTTGCTCACCTGTTTAGCAATTGTACTGAGGACATATTCATAGGCCTTCTTAAGGACTGAGGTCTTCCAAGATATGGTCAAAAATCCAAAATCTTCATTGATGAGATCACAGATAAATAACACAAATGTGTCTCATGGTCCAAGGTCTCACTTAAGTGATGACAGGAAGCCTAGTACATTAAACAAGGATTTCAGAAACTCCCTGGGCAGGGTTTGTGGGTTCTTCAGGTCCCAAATGGGTAGCAAGTGTCCATTGCTGGCTGCTTCCCCAATCTCTATCTCCTGCCTGATGACCTGTATACCTCTCCCACGTCTTTCCTCTAAATGGTGGACAAAGCCCTTGTGTTTCCTCACAAACACAACTAATTAAATCTGTGACAAACTATTTTTCAAACGCTTCTTGGAGGAACATAGAGTGTATATTTTAGGTTTCACAAACCACACAATCTCTGTTGCAACCAGTCAGCTCCACAATCATAGTGCAAAAATCGAAAACAACCAACAATAAGTACATAAATTAATAGGAATAGCTATGATCAGATAAAAACTTTATTTAAAAAAACAAGGGCCCCTCTGGGCTGCAGTTTTCAGGCCTCTGAATTGTACTGAAGATTGAAGACAGCTGTTAAGATTTACAGCATAGTAGAAGGAAGTTAAACACATAAAGTTAGAGAATGCCTTCTACAGATATAAGCACTTCATTTTCCTGGAGTCTCCTCACCTCTTACTTTAGCTCTGGCCTGGACCCATGCTGCTGGGACTTACTCACAATTCCTGGTAAGAAATTCTCTCTCCTTTTGGCCTTTGTGTCCACACCCAGACCTGTGATGCCCCAGCTGGAGGGTGCCAAGATAAAAAGAAACTATACAAAAACAACAAAAAATCAAGCTCATATTAAAATCATCTCTGACAAAAAGGCCCATTAAACAGAAATGTGGCTTCTCTGGGTCTGAAGTAGCTCCATTATATTAAAGTGGCACTTATTTTCCATTTGCCCTATTAAAAGCCTCACCCGAATCAACCTTTCTTTCCTAGAGAGGATCTGCCATGAAGGAAGCTCTTTGTCTGTAAATTTTTATTATTGCTGTGTGAAAGTGCACAAAGTTTACCATTTTAAACATCTTGGATACAGTTCAGGGACTTGAGGACATTCACTTTGTTGTGCAATTCCAACCATCATCCATTTTCAGAACTTTTTAGCATCCCCAAATGAAAGTATGTATTGAGCCACTGCTCTCCTTCCCCAAGCTCCTGGTAATCTCTTTTTGACTTTCAGTTTCTATGAATTTGACTATGTTAGGTCGTTTGTATAAATGAGTTCTTGGAATAAATTGCTGATTTGTGTAAAGACAAATTTCTTGCTTCTATTCTTGAAGTCACATGGAAAAATAAATTACTCATATATTCTGGCTTCCAGCCACCTCTGGTTTGGAAGAATTGGAAACTAGTGTGAGAATGCTCCTCCATGTACTTTTCATGCATCATCTATTACTGTTCTCCAACCTGTTGCCCCTGAAAACACATTGCACATTCTGTCCTTTAGAATGTCATGATCAGTGCCTACAATGCAGCTACCTCTTTTTCTTCTGTGGAGCTCATAGTCATCTGCCCAGCACAAAAACCACTGATATGAGCAGATGGAGTTGCTGACATCTCTCTGTGTCATTCAGTACAATGACACTCACATGTTGCATCTATGCTGCCTTGCACAAAAGATAACTCTAGTGCAGGTCTTATCATCTTGTTGTAATCTCCTTGCAGAGGAGAGCTGGTATCTTCAAGAGTAGAGCCTTTGTCCTATTCAGTGACTTCATGAAGACATTTGGATGTGAGATGCAAAGTAGAAAAAACAATGGTCACATTGAATTCACTCTCCTGGCATTCTGTCTCTCTCCTCCCCATATCTGTGTTCCATGTATGTATAATCTATCATATAAACATCTCTACCAAGAGAAATTGTTGAATTGATCATTTCAGATCTCTTCCCAAGAAGCAAAGTGAACAAATACATATTTAGTTTCTTTTAATTGAGTTGTCAGGAAAAAATTACTTATTTTAATAGTAAAATAGGATTATTATTATATCAGTTTTATTCTTTAAGGTGAATACACACACACGCATACACACACACACATACACACATACAGGGTGGGAAGGGAGAGATTCAAAGATTCATAATCTATGTGTCTCAGGAGACTGTAATCTTATTGGAGGGACATGATTTATGCCTGTAAAACAGATGTATAGATCATGTGTCATCATGAAAATCATACATTGTCAAGTGCTTTATGGTTTATAAAGAGCAGGTGGGTGTAGTAATTCTTGTTTACCTTTGTTCCCCCCCAAAATTAGAGAACATTCAAGTTTAGTGTTCAATTTTCTTTGCTGAAAAAGATCTGAAACTGGCCAATTCAAATCTTTGCCCTTGGCAAAGACATTTATAGAAAAGCAAAGTGGTTAGATTATCTTTGTCAGATTGACATTTGTTAGCATAAACTTGGTTAGCAAAAATATGAAGAATATAGAATAAATACCATTAGCCAAAGGAATGAGTGTGTAGCTTGTTTGTAGCTAGTTTTCTAGAATAGTTCTTAATACCATAAAAGTTTATGGGGAAGAAATGTAAAGCCTTTTATCAAGAATGTAAATTGCTTCCATAAGAAAGTGTTGCTGAGTTGAATTACACTGTACAGCTCTGACCCAGACCAGCTTTGAGACCCTTTTCCCTTTACATTACAAATGAGATCAAGGCTGATGGTCACCTGGCTGGTCTTGCAGATCAGGAAAGTGAATTGTGACTCCAAGTCTAGAGTTTTCCCTAGCAGCCCCATACACAGGCATGAGTTGCCCAATGCAGCCCCTGAGTGCTGTCATAGTTCAGTGAGGTGGGAGGTCAGCAAACAGAGTAGCTGGAGATAATGACTCTGTGTCTGGAATTATGAATGAACTCTGAGTAAACAACAAGGAATCAGACAGTCAGATGTGTCATGGTAGCATTCTTAACATACATTTGTATCAAAATCACCTGAGCTACTTGTTATCAACACCCATTTCAGAGTCTTTCCATGGATTACCACAAAGTGGTATGAAATGAGCCTCTGGGCATCAGTGGCTTGACTGTTTCCTCAGGGGTTACCAAAGCTGGTCGTTAGGTGGATGGTTCTCTCTCATCCCATTTTTTAAACCCTTTGTAATAAGTGCTATTACCAAAGATATAATTAATAGCTGTTCTGAGGTTTTATGTTTAAGATAAGGAGGACTAGACAAGTTTCTAAGATGTTCAGAGAGACAATCTTCATGTTCTGGTCCTAGTGCCCAACAGTGTGCAGTATACCAGAAGACACAAGAGTCACAGGAGACAAGGCCAGTCCCTGTACTCTGTGCTGCCTGTCCTTTCTTTCTTAAAACAAAACAACAAGAACCAGTAGTGATTCTCTCTGCTCTTGTAAACTTCAAAGAAACAAAAATATCTGTCATGTCCCAGATAATGTGGCTTGGCCAATTTCATCAAACCTCTGCTTCCTGTGGACACAGTGATATCCAACTTGTGACAATTGTGATGACCAAAAGGAAAAATGTGTGAAACATGCCTAGAATATGGAATTATTAATCATTATTTCCCTTCTTTCCTACCACCAGTGTACAGTTAGATGTTTTGACACCTGCAAATGTAATCAAACTGAAATATCCTATCTCACTTTTCTGTCCATCAACAATTTTCAGTTAAAGACCACAGGGACACCAGTAACTGAACAGGTAAGGGTTTATTCTTCATTGCAAGAAGGGAGAACACACACTATGGGAAGCCATGGGGCAGGGGGGTTGGCAGGATAGAAACAATCTACTACAGAATTGTGTTTTCAGCTGGGTGAGTTAGAAAAGTAAGCATTCACTCTGTATTGGATGATGTCAGAAAGCAGAGACGTTTTTATGACTGGGTAAAGAAATGGCAATCACTGCTTTTGACCAAGAAAGGAGATATTTGGTCTTTTATGGATGTCCAGTAATGTCATTTTTTTTTGTCTATGCTTAAGATAAAAGTATGCTATGGCCTTGTTTGAGCTCATTTTATCATGGGCTCAGACTGACCTTACCTGAACTTTCCATACAGCTGGACTAGACCAGAGTGTAGGGAAAAAGCAGCTATTTACCTAAAATTTTAGAGGTAGAGAAAAGTGGAGAGATTAAACATTTATTGAGCTGTTACTGCATCGATCAAGCTAAGCTTTGATCCTCCCAATGGTCTCACAAGTATATAATCTACATAAGGTGGGATTTGAAGCCAGATCTAGTTGACTTTAGCAACAAAATCTTCTAGCCGATGCCCTGTGGAGCTGTACTTTTAACACCATTTGAGCACATGGATGAATTCCATGTGCTCTCACTAGCAATGGCTTGCCTTTGACTTTACTTAACAACCAGAAAAAATAATTAGATCTAGAGCCAAGGACTGAGGATTGTTTTCTGCGAAGAGTCACAACTACTCAACTGCCCAAGTTGCAAGAAAGCAGCCATAGATCATATATAAATGAAAGGGTGTGGTTGTGTTCCAACAAAACCTTATTTACAAAATCAGGTGGCAGATGTGATGTGGTCTTGGGTTGCAGTTTGCAAACTCTTGATCTAGATTTTAAGTAACCAGAAATTCCAAATCAAGAGGGATGTTTTTAGAAAGCTATTTTACATATTTAAAAGATGCTTTGAATAATTAAATATGTGTAAATTATGAATATGAATAATAAATGTGAGTAAATATAAATCTTACAGGCTTTTATTTATTCAAGCCTCAATTTATTTATTTTAGATAAATGGCTTGTTTCTAAACATGGCAGAAAATCAGGATGGTGCCTCATGCCATTTGCTTCTCAGGCTCTGAAGAGTGGCCAGGGGAGCTAAAATGCCTATCTGATGGTTATTCTGTGTTTCTGTGCCCCTTCTTTTCATTATTCCTTTTTTTTTTTTTAGGATTTTAAAAAGTTGTCTTCATTGGAAGAATTACTTTCAACTTGTAATATAAGGTATGGTTTTACACAATATCTAATTCTTGGAAGTATATTATACTTCTTTTTTTTTTTTAAATTTTTTATTGTTGGCTGTTCAAAACATTACATAGTTCTTGATATATCATATTTCACAATTTGATTCAAGTGGGTTATGAGCTCCCATTTTTACCCCATATACAGATTGCAGAATCACATCAGTTACACATCCATTGATTTACATATTGCCATACTAGTGTCTGTGTATTCTGCTGCCTTTCCTATCCTCTACTATCCCCCCTCCCCTCCCCTCCCCTCCCCTCCCCTCCCCTCCCCTCTTCTCTCTCTGCCCCCTCTACTGACATTCGTTTGTCCCCCTTATATTATTTTTCCCCTTCCCCTCACTTCCTCTTGTATGTACTTTTGTATAACTCTGAGGGTCTCCTTCCATTTCCATGCATTTTCCCTTCTCTCTCCCTTTCCCTCCCACCTCTCATCCCTGTTTAATGTTAATCTTCTTCTCATGCTCTTCGACCCTACTCTGTTCTTAGTTACTCTCCTTATATCAAAGAAGACATTTGGCATTTGTTTTTTAGGGATTGGCTAGCTTCACTTAGCATAATCTGCTCTAATGCCATCCATTTCCCTGTAAATTCTATGATTTTGTCATTTTTTAATGCAGAGTAATACTCCATTGTGTATAAATGCCACATTTTTTTTATCCATTCATCCATTGAAGGGCATCTAGGTTGCTTCCACAGTCTAGCTATTGTGAATTGTGCTGCTATGAACATCGATGTAGCAGTGTCCCTGTAGCATGCTCTTTTTAGGTCTTTAGGGAATAGACCGAGAAGGGGAATAGCTGGGTCAAATGGTGGCTCCATTCCCAGCTTTCCAAGAAATCTCCATACTGCTTTCCAAATTGGCTGCACCAATTTGCAGTCCCACCAGCAATGTACAAGTGTACCCTTTTCCCCACATCCTCGCCAGCACTTGTTGTTGTTTGACTTCATAATGGCTGCCAATCTAACTGGAGTGAGATGGTATCTTAGGGTGGTTTTGATTTGCATTTCTCTGACTGCTAGAGATGGTGAGCATTTTTTCATGTACTTGTTGATTGATTGTATGTCCTCCTCTGAGAAGTGTCTGTTCAGGTCCTTGGCCCATTTGTTGATTGGGTTGTTTGTTCTCTTATTGTCTAATTTTTTGAGTTCTTTGTATACTCTGGATATTAGGGCTCTATCTGAAGTGTGAGGAGTAAGATTTGTTCCCAGGATGTAGGCTCTCTATTTACCTCTCTTATTGTATCTTTTGCTGAGAAAAAACTTTTTAGTTTGAGTAAGTCCCATTTGTTGATTCTAGTTATTAACTTTTGTGCTATGGGTGTCCTATTGAGGAATTTGGAGCCTGACCCCACAGTATGTAGATCGTAGCCAACTTTTTCTTCTATCAGACGGCGCGTCTCTGATTTGATATCAAGCTCGTTGATCCATTTTGAATTCACTTTTGTGCATGGCGAGAGAAAGGGATTCAGTTTCATTTTGTTGCATATGGATTTCCAGTTTTCCCAGCACCATTTGTTGAAGATGCTATCCTTCCTCCATTGCATGCTTTTAGCCCCTTTATCAAATATAAGGTAGTTGTAGTTTTGTGGATTGGTTTCTGTGTCCTCTATTCTGTACCATTTGTCCACCCGCCTGTTTTGGTACCAGTACCATGCTGTTTTTGTTACTATTGCTCTGTAGTATAGTTTGAAGTCTGGTATCGCTATACTGCCTGATTCACACTTCCTGCTTAGCATTGTTTTTGCTATTCTGGGTCTTTTATTTTTCCATATGAATTTCATGATTGCTTTCTCTATTTCTACAAGAAATGCCGTTGGGATTTTGATTGGCATTGCATTAAACCTATAGAGAACTTTTGGTAATATCGCCATTTTGATGATGTTAGTTCTGCCTATCCATGAACAGGGTATATTTTTCCATCTTCTAAGATCTTCTTCTATTTCTCTCTTTAGGGTTCTGTAGTTTTCATTGTATAAGTCTTTCACCTCTTTTGTTAGGTTGATTCCCAAGTATTTTATTTTTTTTGAAGATATTGTGAATGGAGTGGTTGTCCTCATTTCCATTTCAGAGGATTTGTCCCTGATATACAGGAATGCCTTTGATTTATGCGTGTTGATTTTATATCCTGCCACTTTGCTGAATTCATTTATTAGCTCTAATAGTTTCTTTGTAGACCCTTTTGGGTCTGCTAGGTATAGAATCATGTCATCTGCAAATAGTGATAATTTAAGTTCTTCTTTTCCTATTTTGATGCCTTTAATTTCTTTCGTCTGTGTAATTGCTCTGGCCAGTGTTTCGAGAACTATGTTGAACAGAAGTGGTGAGAGAGGGCATCCCTGTCTTGTTCCAGATTTTAGAGGGAATGCCTTCAATTTTTCTCCATTCAGAATGATGCTAGCCTGAGGCTTAGCATAGATTGCTTTTACAATATTGAGGTATGTTCCTGTTATCCCTAGTTTTTCTAGAGTTTTGAACATAAAGGGATGCTGTACTTTGTCTAATGCTTTTTCCGCATCTATCGAGATGATCATATGGTTCTTATTTTTAAGTCTATTGATGTGGTGAATAACATTTATTGATTTCCGTATATTGAACCAGCCTTGCATCCCAGGGATGAATCCTACTTGATCATGGTGCACAATTTTTTTGATATGTTTTTGTATCCGAGTGGCCAGAATTTTATTGAGGATTTTTGCATCTAGGTTCATTAGAGATATTGGTCTGTAGTTTTCTTTCTTTGAAGTGTCTTTGTCTGGTTTAGGTATCAGGGTGATGTTGGCCTCGTAGAATGAATTTGGAAGTTCTCCCTCTTTTTCTGTTTCCAGAAGTAGCTTGAAAAGTATTGGTATTAGTTCCTCTTTAAAGGTTTTGTAAAACTCTGCTGTATACCCATCCGGTCCTGGGCTTTTCTTAGTTGATAGTCTTTTGATGGTTTCTTCTATTTCCTCAATTGATATTGGTCTGTTTAGGTTGTCTATATCCTCCTGACTCAATCTGGGCAGATCATATGACTTAAGAAATTTATCTATGCCTTCACTATCTTCTAATTTATTGGAGTATAAGGATTCAAAATAATTTTTGATTATCTTCTGTATTTCTGAAGTGTCCGTTGTGATATTGCCTCTTTCATCCCGTATGTTAGTAATTTGAGTTCTCTCTCTTCTTCTCTTCGCTAGCATGGCTAAGGGTCTGTCGATTTTGTTTATTTTTTCAAAGAACCAACTTTTAGTTTTGTCAATTTTTTCAATTGTTTCTTTTGTTTCGATTTCATTAATTTCAGCTCTGATTTTAATTATTTCTTGCCTTCTACTTCTTTTGCTGTTGTTTTGCTCTTCTTTTTCTAGGATTTTGAGATGAAGTATGAGATCATTTATTTGTTGGTTTTTTCTTTTTTTAAGGAATGAACTCCAAGCAATGAATTTTCCTCTTAGAACTGCTTTCAATGTGTCCCATAGAATCCGATATGTTGTGTCTGTGTTTTCATTAATCTCTAAGAATTTTTTAATTTCCTCCTTGATGTCTTCTATAACCCATTGATCATTCAGTAACCTATTGTTCATTCTCCAAGTGATGTATTCTTTTTCCTTCCTTCTTTTATCGTTGATTTTCAGTTCCATTCCATTATGATCAGATAGGATGCATGGCATTATCTCTACTCCTTTATATTGTCTAAGAGTTTCCCTGTGACATAATATATGATCTATTTTTGAGAAGGATCCATGTGCTGCTGAGAAAAAAGTGTAACTGCTTGATGTTGTGTGGTATATTCTATATATGTCAATTAAGTCTAGGTTATTAATTGTGTTAATGAGTTCTATAGTTTCCTTATTCAACTTTTGTTTGGAAGATCTGTCCAGTGATGATAGAGGTGTGTTGAAGTCTCCCATGATTATTGTATGGTGGTCTATTAGACTCTTGAACTTGAGAAGAGTTTGTTTGATGAACATAGCTGCACCATTGTTTGGGGCATATATATTTATGATTGTTATGTCTTGTTGGTGTATGGTTCCCTTGAGCAGTATGTAGTGTCCCTCTTTATCCCTTTTGATTAACTTTGGCTTGAAATCTATTTTATTTGATATGAGTATAGATACTCCTGCTTGTTTCCGAAGTCCATATGAGTGATATGATTTTTCCCAACCTTTCACCTTCAGCCTATGTATGTCTTTTCCTATCAAATGCGTCTCCTGTAGGCAGCATATTGTTGGGTCTTGTTTTGTGATCCATTCTACTAGCCTGTGTCTCTTGATTGGTGAGTTTAAGCCATTATCATTTAGGGTTATTATTGAGATATGGGTTGTTCTTCCAGCCATATTTGTTTATTTATGTTACTAAACATGGTTTGTTTTCCTCTTTGATTATTTTCCCCCCTTTAGTGTCCTACCTCCCACTGTTGGTTTTCATTGTTATTTTCCATTTCCTCTTCCTGTAATGTTTTGCCAAGGATGTTTTGAAGAGATGGTTTTCTAGCTGCAAATTCTTTTAACTTTTGTTTATCGTGGAAGGTTTTAATTTCATCTTCCATCCTGAAGCTTAATTTCGCTGGAAACACAATTCTTGGTTGGAACCCATTTTCTTTCAGTGTTTGAAATATGTTATTCCAGGATCTTCTAGCTTTCAGAGTCTGTGTTGAAAGATCAGCTGTTATCCTGATTGGCTTACCCCTAAATGTGATCTGCTTCCTTTCTCTTGTAGCTTTTAAAATTCTCTCCTTATTCTGTATGTTGGGCATCTTCATTATAATGTGTCTAGGTGTGGGTCTCTTATGATTTTGCACATTCGGCGTCCTGTAGGCTTCTAGGATTTGGGGTTCTGTCTCATTCTTCAAGTCTGGGAAGTTTTCTCGTATTATTTCATTGAATAGATTGCTCATTCCTTTGGTTTGAAACTCTGTCCCTTCCTGTATCCCAATGACTCTTAAGTTTGGTCTCTTGATGTTATCCCATATTTCTTGGATGTTCTGCTCATGGTTTC